TCTTAATAAGTTGGGCTAGAGGCTTATCTATTTTGTTTATTTTCTCAAAGAACCAGCTCTTGGTTTCGTTGATTTTTGCTATTGTTTTATTCTTCTCAATTTTGTTTATTTCTTCTCTGATCTTTATTATGTCCCTCCTTCTGCTGACTTTAGGCCTCATTTGTTCTTCTTTTTCCAGTTTTAATAATTGTGATGTTAGACTATTCATTTGGGATTGTTCTTCCTTCTTCAAGTGTGCCTGGATTGCTATATACTTTCCTCTTAAGACTGCTTTCGCTGCATCCCACAGAAGTTGGGGCTTAGTGTTGTTGTTGTCATTTGTTTCTATATATTCCTTGATCTCTATTTTGATTTGTTCATTGATCCATTGATTATTTAGTAGCATGTTGTTAAGCCTCCATGTGTTTGTGAGCCTTTTTGTTTTCTTTGTAGAATTTATTTCTACTTTCATACCTTTGTGGTCTGAAAAATTGGTTGGTAGAATTTCAATATTGTGGAATTTACTGAGGCTCTTTTTGTGAGCTAGTATGTGGTCTATTCTGGAGAATGTTCCATGTGCACTTGAGAAGAATGTATATCCTGTTGCTTTTGGATGTAAAGTTCTATAGATGTCTATTAGGTCCATCTGTTCTAGTGTGTTGTTCAGTGCCTGTGTGTCTTTACTTATTTTCTGCCCGGTGGATCTATCCTTTGGGGTGAGTGGTGTGTTGAAGTCTCCTACAATGAATGCATTGCAGTCTATTTCCCTCTTTAGTTCTGTTAGTATTTGCTTCACATATGCTGGTGCTCCTGTATTGGGTGCATATATATTTAGAATGGTTATATCCTCTTGTTGGACTAAGCCCTTTATCATTATGTAGTGGCCTTCTTTATCTCTTGTTACTTTCTTTGTTTTGAAGTCTATTTTGTCTGATATTAGTACTGCAACCCCTGCTTTCTTCTCACTGTTGTTTGCCTGAAATATGTTTTTCCATCCCTTGACTTTTAGTCTATGCTTATCTTTGGGTTTAAGGTGAGTTTCTTGTAAGCAGCATATAGATGGGTCTTGCTTTTTTATCCATTCTATTACTCTATGTCTTTTGATTGGTGCATTAAGTCCATTTACATTTAGGGTGACTATTGAAAGATATGTACTTATTGCCATTGCAGGCTTTAGATTCGTGGTTACCAAAGGTTCAAGGTTAGCTTCTTTAGTATCTTACTGCCTAACTTAGCTCGCTTATTGAGCTGTTATATACACTGTCTGGAGAGTCTTTTCTTCTCTCCCTTCTTATTCCTCCTCCTCCATTCTTCATATGTTGTGTGTTTTGTTCTGTGCTCTTTTTAGGGGTGCTCCCATCTAGAGCAGTCCCTGTAGGATGCCCTGTAGAGGTGGTTTGTGGGAAGCAAATTCCCTCAGCTTTTGCTTGTCTGGGAATTGTTTGATCCCACCATCATATTTAAATGATAGTCGTGCTGGATACAGTATCCTTGGTTCAAGGCCCTTCTGTTTCATTGCATTAAGTATATCATGCCATTCTCTTCTGGCCTGTAGGGTTTCTGTTGAGAAGTCTGATGTTAGCCTGATTGGTTTTCCTTTATAGGTGACCTTTTTCTCTCTAGCTGCCTTTAAAACTCTTTCCTTGTCCTTGATCCTTGCCATTTTAATTATTATGTGTCTTGGTGTTGTCCTCCTTGGATCCTTTCTGTTGGGGGTTCTGTATAATTCCATGGTCTGTTCGATTATTTCCTCCCCCAGTTTGGGGAAGTTTTCAGCAATTATTTCTTCAAAGACACTTTCTATCCCTTTTCCTCTTTCTTCCTCTTCTGGTATCCCTATAATACGAATGTTTTTCCTTTTGTATTGGTCACATATTTCTCTTAGTGTTGTTTCATTCCTGGAGATCCTTTTATCTCTCTCTATGTCAGCTTCTATACGTTCCTGTTCTCTGGCTTCTATTCCTTCAATGGCCTCTTGCATCTTATCCATTCTGCTTATAAATCCTTCCAGGGATTGTTTCACTTCTGTGATCTCTTTCCTGACATCTGTGATCTCCTTCCGGACTTCATCCCACTGCTCTTGCATTTTTCTCTGCATCTCATCCCACTGCTCTTGCATTTTTCTCTGCATCTCATCCCATTGCTCTTGCATTTTTTTCTGCATCTCTGTCAGCATGTTCATGATTTTTATTTTGAATTCTTTTTCAGGAGGACTAGTTAGGTCTGTCTCCTTCTCAGGTGTTGTCTCTGTGATCTTTGTCTGCCTGTAGTTTTGCCTTTTCATGGTGATAGAGATAGTCTGCAGAGCTGGTACAAGTGACCGCTGGAAGAGCTTCCCTTCTTGTTGGTTTGTAGCCTTTTCCTGGGAGAATAGCGACCTCTAGTGGCTTGTGCTGGGCAGCTGTGCGCAGACAGGGCTTCTGCTTCCTGCCCAGTTGCTTTGGGGTTTATCTCCGCTGTTGCTGTGGGCTTGGCCTGGCTGGGGCTGTTCCTCCAAAATGGTGGAGCCCCGTTGGAGGGGGAGCAGCCAGGAGACTATTTATCTCCGTAAGGGGCCTCTGTGCTCCCTGCTGCCCAGGGGGTTAGAGTGCCCAGAGATCCCCAGATTCCCTGCTTCTGGTCTAAGTGACCTGTCCTGCCCCTTTAAGATTTCCAAAAAGCACTCTCCAAACCAAAACAACAACAGCAACAATGAGAGAGGGAACAGAAAGGAAAAAAAAAAGAAAAAACACGCGATTTTTTTTTTTTTTTCCTCAGGTGCCGGTCCCAGGCACCCGCGCACTGGTCCTGCTGCCCTGTCTCCCTAGCACCAGGGTCCCTGTCCTTTCAAGGCTTCCAAAAAGCACCCACCCACCGGTCCCGCAGGGAAGGAACGCTCAATATTCTTTGTCCTCAGGCACTGGTCCCACGCACCCGCTCACCAGTCCCGCCGCCCTGCCTCCCTAGCACCGGGGTCCCTGTCCCTTCAAGGCTTCCAAAAAGCACTCGGCAAAAAGAGAGAAAAAAAAGGGGAAAAACGCGCGATTTCTTCCGTCCTCAGGTGCTGGTCTCAGGCACCCACCCACCGGTCCCACAGGGAAAAATGCGGGATATTCTTTGTCCTCAGGTGCCGGTCCCAGGCACCCGCTCACCAGTCCCGCCGCCCTGCCTCCCTAGCACCGGGGTCCCTGTCCCTTTTAGGCTTCCAAAAAGCACTCGCAGAAAAGAGAAAAAAAAAAGGGGAAAAACGCGCGATTTCCTCTGTCCTCAAGTGCCGGTCTCAGGCACCCGCCCACCGGTCCCGCAGGGAAAAACGGGGGATATTCTTTGTCCTCAGGCGCCGGTCCCAGCCACCCGCTCACCAGTCCCGCCACCGTGCCTCCCTAGCACTGGGGCCCCCGTCCCTTAAAGGCTTCCAAAAAGCCCTTGCCAAAAAGAAAAAAAAAAAAAGGGGAAAAACGCGCGACCTCCTCCGTCCTCAGGCACCGGTCTCAGGCACCCGCCCCCAGGTCTCGCAGGGAGAAACGCGGGATATTCTTTGTCCTCCGGCGCCGTTCCCAGGCACCTCCTCACCGGTCCCGCCACCCTGCCTCCCCAGCAACGGGGGCCCGTCCCTCTAAGGCTTCCAAAAAGCGCTCTCCAAAAAAAAAAACCGCTCCGGTTTCTCTCCACCCGCCGGGAGCCGGGGGGAGGGGCGCTCGGGTCCCGCCGGGCTGGGGCTTGTATCTTACCCCCTTCACAAGGCGCTGGGTTCTTGCAGGTGTGGATGTGGTCTGGATGTTGTCCTGTGTCCTGTGGTCTCTATTTTAGGAAGATTTTTCATTGTTATATTTTCATAGCTCTATGTGTTTTTCGGAGGAGATTTCCACTGCTCTACTCACGCCGCCATCCTCTGTTTTTTTTCGATCCTAGTTTTTTAACCTGCAGGAATTTAGTTATATTAAATAATACTGACAAAGAGCTTAGAAATATTTGCATTGTGCAGAGTGTGTGCACTTCCAGCTCTGGGACAGATGCCGTGCCTGCCCTGCTCACAGCTCAGCTCTTGAGCTTGTGCAGTACTTGGCATGTAGGGGTCTTCAGCCTCTGTTTACTGAATTAATGGATGAGTGTTTATAAACAAAATATGCATAGAAGAACAAACAGCCTCATAGGAGGATTGGCTTCTTCAGCTTAAACCTCAGAATCACAGTAAACATTGTGAACACATACCGAAAGTACCGACTTTTTAGAGTATGCGTGAGGTGCGTTTTAGGTATGTGGAACACTGACTGTGACTATAGGAAGCTCCTTGGGTACCTTCCCGTACTGGTGAGGGCAAGGGGAAGCTTCTGTTCTATAAGGCATAATGGAGAAGAGAGAATTTCATCTCACAAATGGATTTTATGAGCACGTAATGTTATTTTGGAGAAGTGGGGTTAGTTGAGAGAATGAATACAGCAGGCCCTCCCTTTAGTTTCTGCAGCCTCAGTTACCCTCAGTCAGTTGTGGTCTGGAAGTAGATGATCTTCCTGGTAAGCAGAAGGTCAGTAGCAGCCTGACACTACATCACAGTGCCTACGTTATTTACCTCACTTCACCTCATCTTTTAGGCATTTTATCATCTCACCTGATCACAAGAAGCTGTCTGTGGACAGTACAGTAAGATATTTTGGGAGAGACCATATTCATATAACTTATTACTGTGTATTATTTGATTGTTCTATTGTTGTTAATCTCTTACTGTACCTAATTTACAAAGTAAACTTTGTCACAAGTATGTATGGATACGGAAAGCGTAGTACATGTAGAGTTTGGTATTATCCATGGCTTCAGCCTTCCATGCCAGGTCTTGGATCATAGCCCTGAAGGTGAGGGTGGATGGTGTGGTAGCTAAACAGAGCTTGGATTTAGCAACTGGCAGATATGCAAGTATAGGATATCTTAATGGACACTGTTTGAAGCTTTGGGTAAATCTCTGTATTTGAATGCAAGCATCAGGCATAAGCAACACAAATTGGCAATGATTACATAATTTAAACTCCAACTTTGTGTTTTTGCAGGGTTCTAAGTTCCTGTTGCCTCAGACAATGGATGAGCAATCACAAGGAATACAAGGGCCACCTGTCCCTCAGTTCCAGCCACAGGTAATTGTCCTAAAGATGGCAGCATAAATACGTGTTCATTATGTGAGGAAAGAAGTACATTTACAGTGCCTTTAGGAAGCAAAGTAGCCCAAAAATGCTAATTATGCATTTCCAAGTTTTAGTCAGAATTGTTTATATTTTAAAATAGTGTTTTAGAATACTTAGTTCTCATGTACAAACGTGAAAGAAAGGCAGTGTTAGCTCTTCACTGAGTGGCCTGTAGTGAGTGGCGTGAGGGGACAACCCCAGGCCCGGCTGTGGGGCTGTGAGCTTGTGTCCAGGCCTGCTGGCCGTGGCTGCCCTGCCCTGTCCGCTCCTGTCCTGCGTGTTGCCACTCTCCCAGCTCTCAGTAGTGCTGTGTTTCTCCCATTACATAGTTGCTTGCTTTTTGTAACAGAAAATGAAGTAAAAAGAATGTTTCAGTAAAAAAAAGTGCACACTCCATTGTCGATTGTTTGTCATATAAGACCCTGTGTGTTATGGATGCTCGCGGTGAGGCTCAGTCAGTACCTGACGGCAGGCTCCAGGGACAGACACCCTGAGGTGGGGCAGCACCTTATTTTTGTTGTTAATGCCTTAAGTTTGTTGTTATTCATTCATAAAGGCTGCATTTCTCAGTTTGGCATGTGAGACATTCTATAGTGTGTCTCAAATACACTCTCTAATCTTGTGTCAGTTTTCCTTGGATAGTAATTCTGAAATTGAAGAATTGGTAGATTTCTTTCAAATGAGGTCTGTAGTCAGGTTTGGGAGACACAGTCAGACAGTGACTTTATGGCGGCTCTTCTCAGGGCCTTTCATATACTTATGTGCCTTTTGGAGGACGGCGGGTGTGGTGTTTTAAACTTGACCGTGGGACTCCCCCAAACCCCCTTTTTAAGCACGTCTATTGACTTCTTACGCAGTCCATGTCCGTGAAGCACCATTCAGGAGATACTGCCTGTGAATGACTCCCTCTTCGCCTCTCTGACTGTGTTCAGTCCGTCCCCTCCATCCTCCTGTCTATCGTCTGAGATTCTGCACATCCTTCAGGGTCTGTCTAAAATACCTCTGCCCCTGCCACTTTTTCCGGTTTTCTAAAGGTAGTATTTTTTCCTGGAAATCTGATGATAACGTTCTTCGTTGCATGTCTTCTGGTATTTCTGAGACCTTTGTGTCACCTCACGTGGGCATTTCCCTTCCTCCTCTCGGGTCAGGCTCTTCTTGAGGAAGAGGACTGGGTCCCCCACTCGGGGATGACCTGTGGTCCTGCAGGGGCTCCAGGAAGGGCGGCCAAAGCCAGCCAGCGACCCCCTCGGACGCCGGCTAGCAGAGCCCCGTCCCTTGTGCACCTGACATGGCTGCCATGTCACACTTGCCTGAATTCTCTGTTCAGGAGAGGCTTAGCTTAGTGTGAGGCTGACATCTTCATTTCAACATGGTTGTTTGCTTTTTTAAATCCACTGTCTGTGTTTTGTGTTTTGGTCGTGAGTCATCAAGGCAAAACGAGGCAGCCCCTCTCTGTTAGGTACAGACGTAGCCGGTGCCGGTTCTGCCCGCTGCACACAACGTGGTTGCCTCAGGTGTCATTTCTAGTGAAGACAGTAAAGGAAGTGCCTCTAAAAACTGGGTAGTTCATGTTACGATTTTGAGATGCCCAGTTTTGAACAGCTCTAAGCTTAAAAGGGAAAAAAAGGCACTTGTGTTTTTGCCTCCTGCTGACTCACCAAGCAGGAAAGGTTGGAGTGGCGGTAGGAGGCAGAAATTAAAGTGATTGTTTTCCTGTGAGACACGAGGCTGCCACACAGCATAGATTCCAAGATTATATGTGTGGTTCTGCCTCTCCGTTTACAGCTACTCGTTCATGCCGCCTGCTGCTGCTCTGTGTGGCTGGACCCCTTCCCTGTTGGGAAGAGGCAGGTGTCAGCCAGGTTCTGTGGCCCATGGCCAGCGGGGGAGGGAAGGACGGCTGCCTCCTCTGCATTCAGACTGGTGGTGTGGGACAGCGAGAGGAAGACCGCCTGGCATGAGCCCACAGGCCTCAGTGCCTCCCGAGGCTTTGAAGAATGCTGCCCTCGGTGTCGCTGTAAAGGCTGGCCGACAGCGTCTCCTGTGTCGTTCCACAGTGTCAGCCTGCATCACGGGATGGCGACAGCTAAGGGCAGTGCGTGGTTAGCCAGGGACTCCGTCCACTTTTGTGGTGCTGATACCGTCCGGACCACGGGATAGCTCAGGAAGTCAGCTTTCTAGGTGTCCAGCTCCAGTTCCTGTTACAATGATGAGTGATGTGTATTCTTGGTGAATTGTTCTGAGACAGACACTCTCACTGTGATGGGCGGTAACACATGCTCATTGTTTGTATGACACAAGTTTTTTTTTTTAAAGTTTCAGAATGTGAGATTTGTCTTTATTATTATTATTATTATTATTATTATTATTTGCATTACTGTCATTGTTTTGAGCTTAGGGAAAATTCTGTCAGTTCCCCTCTCCTGCCCTTCCTTTCATTTTCTTCTGTCTGATTCCTTCCACCCAAGTCTAGAAGATAATGTAAAGGATGTTTTGACTAGATTTTATCCTATATATTCTGACTGCTTTAGGACTGTTGTTTGTGGAGCAATGGATTTAGCTTAGTCAAAAACAAAAAAAGCAACAGACTGTATTAAAGACAGTGACAGAGACACAGTAAAATACTTTTTACCACAAGAATAATTTTAAGCAATAGAAGTTTGCAACTACTAAACTATTTCGTGAGTATTTTGATTGAGGGCTGTTTAGTGAAGAGGACTATGTACATTCACTTTTTTATCATAGATTTAAATATGAAAAATTATAATCTCTGAGTACAATTCTAAGAATTTCTGTGAGTAATTAGATTTTACTGTGGTAATCATCAGGACTTAGCTTACAAATTATTATTTGTAAATTTGAAGATGTCTAGTGTAACTCTTTGGCTCCCTGTGACAGAGGGAAAGCACCCCAGGTCTGCAGGCAGAAAACACACCCCTTACTTGTACAGCTCGGGAGCTGTGAGGGTCTTGCCGTGCAGTCTCCCGACTGGAATAGTCACGTAGGCCACCGTCCTTCAGGCCCCAGGCAGCCCTGCCGACAGTGCCCTGCTGCCTGGCGTGTCGGCGAGCCCGGAGACATGAGCTGAAGTCGCCTCGTAGCATGTCGGGGTGGTGGTCCGGGGCCCTCTGGGCAGAGCAAGGTAGCTCCTGTGGACCCTACTGAGTAGGTAAGATTTTTGGACATGGTAACTATGTTACTGTCCCCTCTTTTCAGCTTAATTTGCAGGAGTGCTTTATGAGATAAGGATCATTGTAAGCGTACGTCTTTTGATGAGTTAATTTTGCCAAGGTACTTGTCATATAGCACCGAGCAGAGCTTCTGTTCGAGGAAGGCTTTATAGAAATTTAGATGTGTTGGTCTCCTTTTAACTGTTTGTTTTATTACATAACCTTTTATTGATGAAGGTACAGGAAAAAGAGCAGCAGACTCCTGAGCAGAGAAGGCTCTTGCCACTGTTTAAGGTCATGGCCGGAACCTCAGGTGACCCTAACCGTGCTTACGGCGTCACACCCTTGGCCCGTTCTTCCCCTGGGCGATGATTCCGCGTCTTTCCTCTCCACACCCGGCACGTATCCCACCCTCCCTCTCAGCCGATGCCCCGTTTCCTGGTTCACTTGAAAAACTGGAGCATCGGGAGAGCTGCCCCAGACCGCTCGCTGGTCGTCGTCCTCGCGGCCCGTGCTGTTGGGTTCGCCAGCCCCCCGCCCTGGAAGGCCGACCTCAGCGCGGCCCCAGCTGCCCCCAGCTGTGCCCGTCTGCCAGTCCTCCCGTCACCATACTGTCTCCTCTCTTTTTCCATCTCAACAACAAACCAAAACAAAACCAAAAACAGCTTTTGAAGTCCTCCTCTCCATCTGCTGACCTGAAAATCCCCAGAAAGATTTGCTTGTGCCGAGTCTCCCGTTTCTCCTTTCTCCCTGCACCGCTCTTGCCAGGGCCCCGCGCGGGTCTGGTGGTCAGTCCTCAGGCCTCGTACTGGCTCGGCAGCCGCGCCCTCCTCTGAAACCTGGTCACCGCCTGCTTCCGAGAGCACTGCTCCTCTTCCGTCTCATGCTCCCCCGGCTGATTCCCCCTTCTGGCTTCCCCAAGCGGAGTGCCCCGGGACGTCCGGCCTCTTCTGCATCTCTGTCCCTGAACCGGTCATCGCTCTCGGTTTCGTGATCCTGAATATGATCTGTGTGTTGGTGATCCTCAAATTTATATCTCAACCTGGACCTCTGTCCTGGTGCCACACTCATATGTCCGGTTTCCTGCTTGGCATCGGATTCCGTTGCATGTCTCAAGCCTGACGTGTCCGACCCTGAACTCTGTTCCTTGCGAACTGTTCCGTCTGCCACCCTCTCCAGAAGCTGCTGGCAAGTCCTTCTGTTCAGTTCCTCCGTCTGGAACTCCCAGGCTCCCATGACTTCCTCGCATCTCTTCGTCTCATCTAATCTGTCAACAGATCCACATATCTTTAAAATATATTTAGAATTGGAATACTTCCTACTCCTCCACTGGTCAGAGTCCTTCTGATCTGACACCCACTGGACACCGGTAGCTTCCCACTTGGTCTCTGCCCCCACCCTTGCCTCCCTTCAGTCTGCTGTCAACACAGAATCAATAGGAAATTATACAAAATACAAAAGTTCAGTCAAATCATGGCTGTTTAAAACATTGTATCTGTTCCTTGTCAGCTTGCTGATTCATCAAGCATATATTTAAATACCACCTTCTGTGTCCCTTCCATGAAAACTGAGCCTCCGCACCTGGCCAGTGTGGCCTCAAGGCTGAACTTACTCCATGGACCCCTTCCTGCCTCGTCTGCCGCCTTCCATTCGGCTCGCTGCTGGTCTCCTAGAGCAGAAGCTTCGTCGGTAGCTCCTGGAACGGCGCCCAGAGCACCTAGCAGGCACCCAGGTGATGCTGTCAAATGGATGTGAACTTGGTATCGAATCGACCCATTCTTT